ATGTGGCAGCCTAAGAAAGGTTACCCGATAGTCATCTCCCAGGGCTCTACACTGATGCTTTGGGGTTTGGGATGCATGGCTATTGTGCAGAAGAAGTACAGGTGAGATTTAAACTCAATTTCCTACTCTTACCAAGCCCAGGAGGGCCCTTGTAACATCTTTATGGGGTACAGTTGGCGTCGCCTTTGAGATCTGGTTGTGGAGTGTGTATAGCTTCCAAAAATGAAGCTATGAGAAATAAGAAGGGGGACATTTGTGGGAGGTTAAGTTTTACAAACATCATATAACAGTGAGAGAGAATATCAAATTGAAGTGTTTCAGTGGCAAATGAGATGTGGTACAACAGCATGGCCCTCAAGACTCTTCTGAGAAGAGCGTTTTGATTTCTTTTTTTCATCTAATGCTCCATCTCATAGTACTGGATTGTAGTATTAAACCAAATACTGCTTCACTTCCATCTCTTATTCCTCCTATTAGTGTGTGTCCTAACAGAAAGGAATTTTTCCAATGGCCCAAGCTGCAAAACATGCCTGGAAAGGAGGCCGGCTTGGGGCTTGCCGTGTTGGGGTGGGTAGTGATTCCTAGCAAACAAGTGTCACGCTTAAGCAGACGTAACCTGTGCCTTCTACCAGGCAGAGCGAGGCCTGCAGAGCTCCTCTTGCCTCTCGGTGCCAGCCGCGGCGCTGGCCCCTTTGCTGAGCTCCAGGAGGAAGAGCATCCAAGGGCACGTGCGTTGACGTGGTCAGTAGGGCCCTCCTCCAGTCCGGGGGAGAGGACGTTTCTCGCCCGCGCCGCTCACAAAGGCGGCGCCGCGGTCGCAGGCCGGCGGCCGCGGCTGCCTCGCAGGCGAGGAGCGAGTTGTGTCCTTAATGCTATGTAATGTAGACATCCAGCCGGCAAATGATGACCATCATCAAGGCGAGCTGCCCGCGCCGTCCATCAAAAACCGCCAAGCTAATGATGGGCTGGGCAGATAATCGCGGGAGAGTTAATTGTAAGGTTCGATATGGCATCTTGTCAGCAGAGATAAGTTGTCACGTTTTCCACTTGAGCTGAAACTAAATGATTGTAAAATAAGTTATGAGTGTCCTTGGGCCTGTCTGCCAGAATGATGGCTAAGAATACATTCCTGGCCCATCAGTCTCAAGCAGCCCGCTTGATATTTATGCGAACTGAATGTTATTTTATTCCCCCTCTAGTCATGCTTGTCAGCTCCCCGAGTGAAAAGTGAAACTGCTGCTTTGACTCATACTTCAAGTATTGAAGCTCGGAGAGGCTGCAGATTGTTATTATTATTACCAGCATTATATATTTTTTTGGGGTGTGCGTTGAACATTGATGCCCGATTGGGAAGAACTAATGGCTGACATTGAGCGGACGGGATGGCGGCAAAACAGCCCATCGCGGGCCACTGAAACGCGTCTTATGGCTTCTAGTGCCTCCGTCAAAGCTGGTTTAGATGTGGAGTAATGAGGCGCTTGCTTCTTTAATTTGGCATGCCTTTCTCTTGGCCTTTATTTATTTATTTTCCCTTCCTTCCTCGCCCCCCCCCNCACTTAAATTTAATAGAGGCAGCAATGGTCGCCTGTTCTCCCAAGTGGTAATTGATACAAAATAAAATGCATTATTTGTATTCAGTCAGGAGGAGGAAATTGCATTCAGCGGGCTGAAGCCTGAACTCATTTACAGTTTGCCGAAGCCGGGCTTTCAGGAGCCCTCTTTTCAATTTGAAGAATACCTTGTCAGGCAAGAAAAGTAGCCGGAGATGGGAAAGCGCAGCGTGTGAGCCTAGCACGTTTTGATTGCTCATATTTTAAACGGGGAGAACGTTAAATAACTTCCAGCTTCAAAAGGTGGTGGCGGGAAGGGGAAGATAGGGCATTAATACAGTAACGATACGAGCTCGGCACCCGTTCAACGTTACTCTTGTGGTCGCAGGGGAGGGAGTAGCTCCAGCTTCCCGCCTCGGAGCGGCTTGACCCCAGGATGGCAGGTTATGGACGGAAAGGGCTGTGGATCAGGAGGATTTGCCATAGCAGGTTAATTCTTCATCGCTCTCTAGCGTGAGGAGGTGAACCTCGCGCTTGGAAACCTCCTTGGTTTTCCGTGCTCGCAAACAGATTTTGTTTGCACCACTGTAAGCCCAGAATATTGCACTAAGTTGCAGGAAGCATGCAGATTTTCAGTAGTATTTTTGACCAGAAAGGGCTTTTGAGAAAGCTCTTATTTTGATAATTATGGGGAGAGGATACAACTATAAGCACTGCGGTTAGTAAGAAGACTTGGCTTTTGGAGGGATCTGATCTTGACTTATAAAAAGCTTATGAGATTCTTCCAAAGGGTGTGTTCTGCACGCTTGTGTCAGTGTGGATTCCTCAGTGTTTTACTGCTGCTGATCAGTGTGTTGTGACTGGTGGCTGTTTCTGTCTGGTGGTGAATGTGACACTCGCACTGCGGTCTTGGAAATGGGAGCACTTGCCAACTTGGACATATGCCTCTTGCTCCCAAGCATTCAGAAATACCCTTTGGAATGGCCCGGGAATGGTAGAGATGGTAGTTCTTACCCCCTGCCTTAAGTAAAACAGGATAATTCTTTCTAAAGTGGAAGCTGAGAATTGGAGGTCCATCCATGTGCCATGATCCTCATGTTCTCTGGGGGGAAAAGCAAAGCAAAATCATGCTATATGTGAGTAAGCTTTCCTGAGCAGGGTCCCTGCTGGTATTTGTCCGTCATATTTACAATTTGCAAAACTGGAAATCAGGGAGAGACATTCATTGCTAGGGCGCCCATAGCAAAGCTTAGCCCTCCAGCAAGCACCTTTCTTGTGGCACCTGAAGCAGCTGGCACCCATTTAAAAGGAGGATTGAGAACTGGTGGAGCAAAAGATTGCAATGTCCCTTCCCTCAGAGGGCTGCTGAATAGCAGTGCAGCTTCTAGACAGGCTTTGCATTCCCTTCATCTGGAGGGACAAAAAACCTTTGCATGCTAACTGCATTGACTACTTCTGGTACAAGTGCTTAAATCTCTTGCGTGGATGTGCAATGTGTCCTTGTGCTTCCCTTTGTGGTTCAGTCCTTTGTTGCTGGGTTTGAAACGATGGACATGGAAAGGAACCAGAATCCCTAGGATCAAGTCCAGCTTAGTCTTTATTGCCAGGTATTCAGCTACGTAAGTTGTCCCTCAGCAACAACTTGCAGCATGTTTAGCTGTCAGTTAGGAAGTAAATGTCAGGACAGTAAGTGTTGTGGGTTGTTTTATGTGTGCGGTGGTGGTTGTTGTTGTGTTTTACTAGGCCTTTGTAGGGGATCTTAACTGCTAAAAATATTCCAAAGCTACTTTTTAAATTGGTTCTAATGTGGTGTTTTTCAAGACAAAGGCGCTGAATGGATGAATTCATCTTTAGTGCAGTCGTGGTTTGGTGTCCAAAGATCTGGAAACAGTCTGACTTTACTCAGACTACTTTGTATTATTTGAAGTTTAGAATGTTAGGTAAATTAATAAAAAGTGCACTTAGGATTAGTTATAGCCAGAAGACGGATTGAGGTTGTTTTAAAATCGTATTACTGACCTTGGGGGAAAAGTTGGTGGTTTAAGGTTACTTGAGGAGACCCAAACCAAGGATGAAATTTCAGAAGAACATATTTCTTTCCTTAATTTTTGCTGAATATTGCTATTATTTTTATCTTCGGTCGTGGCGGGGAGAGGAAAGAGACAAGTGAGACAAAAAGTTCTTGCAAAAGTTCAGGATTTTATTGTTATCCTTAAGTTATTGTGGGGTTTTTTTTGAGATATTGAGCAATTAGAGGGTGCTCAGGAACACAGTTCAGCTAATGTACCTTCTAAAAACTTCTTTCTGGTTTTGTCTGTGCAGTTCAAGAAAGAAGCAAGTTTTGGTTGATAGTTTATTAAAAGACATTATTGTTTTGCTTTCTCCTCTGCTGCTTTTTGCGACTGAGAGTGTCTTGCTCTGCCCTTGCCCTGCTCCTGGACAGGGGGTCTCCCAGTGCAAATTCTTGCAGTATATCCCTTTGACTTATTGGGAGCTGACCGAAATTTATGTTGTTCTGCATGAGTGAAAAAGCCTTGCTCTTTGGAAAGCAAGTTAGACATGGGCCATATTGAGGTCCATAATAAAAATATATGTATTTTTAATGTATTTTTTACAACATAAAGGGAAGTCATTTGCACTTTACTAGCTACTATGCAGAGCAAGGAATGCAACGTGGGTCTCAACTTGCCAAGAGAGCAAGAGGGGCATCATAGTCCCTGAATATGAATGTGTGTGAGAGCACTATATAAAAATTAGACTGTTACAAGCTCTTTGAAAATGTTGCATGTTATGCTACCATAACTTATGTAGTGGGAAACTACATAATACACTGAGAGTGGCCTGCTTTTCACTGAGTGTGTGCCCTAAGTGTCCCATCATCATGCACAGTATTAGTTATATCGGGCACATATGAACTGTACATGGAGGGGATAAAAATGTTTTGCCACCTTGATTGCCACTACCACCTTTTCCATGTGTGCCTGTGTCTCTAGGATTAGCAAAAGGAAACAGCTCTCGGTGGAAGTTATGGAGGCTGCATTATTTTATGTACTAAGATGTCCTGGTGTTACCTGAGTTAACCTGAGGATTAGTCAGGTGTGTGTAAGAAAGTGATCACAAGTAAGAGAGTGACTTTCTGTTGTTTTTGTCAGTTCTGGCTGCCTGCTTCTAAAACTGATGCAGAGGGACTTGTTGGTTTGATAGGACTCGAGTGAGATCTTGAGCCAAGTTTCTTTCCTAGTGCCTTTTTGAGAAAGTAATGGGTGTTTTTAGGATGTTTTCCTGCAGCTGTTGCAAGTCAATGAGCTCAAAAGGTTAGTTGCTAATTGACAATAAAAGGTATTTTCTTGTCAGTTTTGGCTGGCTTCTAGCAATCATGAGTTTAAATTATGCAGTCATTTTATTTTTTCCCTGCCTTTCTTCACCCTCTTCTTTCTCTCCATACTGCAGATACCGGCTTGGGAGATTCCGTGTGTTCGAGCCCAAGTATATCCAGTACAACCAGCCCCAAACTCGACCCACCTCCTTCACCTCATGCCAATAGAAAGAAACACCGCCGGAAGAAAAGCACGAGCAATTTCAAGGCTGATGGCATCTCGGGCACAGCAGAAGGTAAGCTTGTTTTATGGAGAAAGTCTGAATTTTGCAGCTATTTTGTCCTGCTTCCAAGAAAGCATGTCAGAGCACAACTCAGCTGTGTCATTGGCTTTGCACAGAAAAGGTAAACAAAATTGTACTTAAGTGTAGAGGGAATTAAAGGTTCTTTTTTTAGACCTTTTAATGATGGAGCTGAGTGACCCGTGGCATCACATGACTGTGATTTGAAACAAGATTTTTCCCCTTAGAAGTATCTCCAAGCTAATGCAGAGCATCATTAGTAGTAAAGGTAAGGCACAGGCATGCTTGAAAGGTTAAAAAGAAAAAAGTCCAGGTGCACTGAGCCCCTACATCATGCTAGAACTTGTAATTTTTTTTCAGTATTGTTAAATCTTGTGTTATCTCTTCTGCTTAGACCCATTCTGTACTCTAGAATCATCAATGCGCTGGTGCCTGTTAGAGCTTGAATATTCAGCTTCTCATGGAAAGGTGGTGTTATGTGAGGATAAAAAGAAAAGGGGAGAGTTTAAATGTTTGGGTTCCTTTTTAAGAGTCAGAAAGCAAAAGCTGAAAAGAACTTTTTTTTTTCCTTTAGTTTAGCTTACTATTTCCAACACGAGCACTGCTATAGCTGTTCAATGCCTTTCTGAAGGGGTAACAATGTATACGGGAGCCAGATATGATATAAAACATGCTTGTATCTTTAGAAAAGAAAAAAAAAAAAATGCTATGATTCAAAAAAAAGAGCTCCAGAAAAAAAAAAAAAAAAAAAAAAAAAAAAAAGATGAACAAGGGTAGTTGGAAAGCTCAGAAACTGGGGAGTCAACACATAAGGAAAGATGAAAAAAGGAGACAATGGAATAACATTGTTGGAATAGGGGAGTGTAAGTAAGAAAAAGCTGTGGTCATAAGCATTGGTGAGTAAAAACAGCTAATTCGGTATCAAAGAGCATTGGAACGAGTTCTGAAAAGAGGAGGACAATTGCAGGCAGCAGAAGAGACATTAAAAATAGACGTGATAATAGTATACAACTGAGAAGGGGCATGTTAACTACTACTTAGTCATCCTTATTTTCCATTTATTTAATTTCTCAATTGCACTTCTGTTACATACGGAGTTTATTTCCTCAGCTATCTATACAAATCTTTTTTACTCAGAAAAAAATAGCTTTGTTCATAATGGCTCCTGTTGCGTTCTCTTTCCAGTCATTTAGCTGTCTTTACTGTTAGTTCCCCCTAGTTTATGGCCTGCAGCCAAATTGTATTTTAACCTTTCGTTTTTAATTTGTCTCTTTTTGTTGGTTTTTTTTCCCCAATCTTCTTTACTGCTCTTATTTCCCTACCCCAACGGCAAGTTACAGAGGGGATTTTTCGCAGTGCTCTCACCATTGGCCCAGGAATATTTTGTCGAAGTCGACATGAATCGAGACCAGCTGGATATTAAGAGCCTTTGAAAAATCTATTTCTGAGTAGTTAATACGTGTATGTTTTCTTTCGCCTGGTGGGATTATTTTCACAAGGCGCTGGCGTGGGAGCCTGTGTGGTCCTGGTCTGCAAGCACAGACTTTTAAACCACAGCAAGCAGCTGGCGATGGGCAGTTGTGCTGTGTCCTGCTTCTGAAATCCCTGTTCTCCCGGGAGCAGGGGGTACTTGGCTCCGTCCTGCTTCCCTGATCTGCCTGTTAACATGCCAACCTGAAAGGCCTTTGCAGTAACGCTACACAACTGTCCCCTTTCCTGGAAATTAAATAAAAGCGGCTTTTGGAAGGTCAAGAAATGAATGGCAAGAAGCACCAAGTAAAAGTCTTTGCAGGGGACTTTGAAAGTTGAGAACACAGATGTCTGCATTCAGTCTTCCTATCCCTACGCTAGCTTTCTCTGGCTGAGAAAGCTGCCTCCTCTCCTGTGTCTCGAGATGGGTGTCCTCTTCTGGTTTGGAGCTCGCAGTTGCATGAGGAAAACGTTGAGAAGAAAGTTGTGTGAGTTGCTGGTGGTGGTAGCTCCCCATGAAGTACTTCTTGTGAAGGCTGGCAGAGGGATGGGGCAACGCTCTTCTCAAATTCTAGCACGCAGATGCTTGCAGACTTTTGTTGTGTCCCTCTGCCTTTATTTTCTGGTATTCAGGTTGGGGCAGTGCAAAGCTGTGTTTGATGGGCTTTGTGGTCCAAGAGACTGGTGCTGTGCCCCTCTCTGAGCTTGCATGGTGCTCGCTCAGGGGAATAAGCGAGTCTAGAGTCCTAGAAAAAGCACTGTCCCCGGTCAGTCAGCTACCAGGGCCCAGTGTGTCTGAGATGTTTTGGGTCGTTCCATGTTTTTCTCTAAGTTGTACCATCATTTTCAAGTCCATCTTGTGTTTTGAGCAGTTTTCAGTTGAGTTTTCAAATCTCGGAAAAAGGCTTAGTATCCCTCTCCTCGAGTGCTTATTCTAGAAATATATTATACACCAATGGTTATTCTAGAAACGTATTTAAAGCCTCAGGTGGAGGTGTTGGCCTGGATCAGTGTAATTCTGGAGACTGCAAATCCAGGATGTCCAGTGAAAGGTTAGATGGTGTGGGAGATGCTTGCTTAGCGCTTGCAACCTTGAGCAACCTTGGGGAGAACGGGATACAGGAAGCTGAGCCATAGGGGAAGGGAGTCTTCCTTCTGGGAACTGTGAGCTTGCTCTGAATAGAAGGATCCTCCACTAGTGTGAGCATTTTCAGACAGTTGCCACAGATTATTTAAATGGTTTGGGTAATTCTGCATTTGAAGTCGCCTCATCTTGGCTTGAGGCATATTTCAAGTGTCATTTTGCAATTAAAAATGCTGGGTTCCTCTGTTCTTGGGTGTAGCAAAGTGTAGCTGTTTTCTGAGATTTAAATGTGGTCTTCAGCAAACTCTTTAGCATTCCTAGTGCACTTTCCAGCCTTTTCTCTCCCCTTCCGTGCTGGCTTTGATCGTTGACCTCTGCCCAAGTGTTCAGATATCGCTGAGATGGACAGTAGTGAGCCCAGAGTGGCGGTAGTCACTAATTCCAAGCACCGATGCTCATGTCTTTTATGACTTTCCATAAAGGTCACACTGATGCTCATTTCTCCCCGCTATCTGCACATTCACAACCCTCACTTTCTTTGCTTGCATCTCTTTCATCTTCTCAGTTTAATCTTTCTACTTGTTTTCCAAGACAGTGGTTGCAGCGGCAAAACTACTGTGGCAACAGTGCAGCAGTTGGATGAAAATTAAAATGCAATTTCTGTTTTGGGAAGCCAGGCTCTGAAATTTCTCCAAGTGCAATGAAACCCAGAGAGAAGTTTTTCGGTTCTTATCTACACAGTGCTCATCACTGAAAGGAAGAAAAAAAAAAAAAGAGAAAGAAAAAAAGAAGAAAACCTCAGTGTTTTGAGGCTACCAGCAGGAATTTGTGCATTAGGCAAGGTGCCAGCAACCAGCAGTGTTTTTCCCACCATGCTGTCTAAACCCGCTCAGAGCAGGATTACACAGTGCAGCGTTTCAAAGAGGAAAAGCTGCTCGGAGCCTGGGCTGTTTCAGTGCCCTTGTGCTACCGTGCTTGGAGGAGCTGCTGGCGACAATGGATAGGTTTCTCAGCTTGAAAACAAGTGGTGAAATTAAAGCCTTCCTGTAAATACTCTTCAGAAAAAGGTCTTTCCCACTGGTTGTGTTTCTTCTTCTTCTTAGACCGGAATTGTTACCTAAAACTTGAAGAGCTGTAGAAAGACCAAGGTCTGACCATCTTCTTGCGGCATCAAACCACTGTCGTGGGCCCTTTGCGAGTGCATCCTTGCTGGAGAGCTCTGAGCACCGGGGCAGTTTTTGGGGGTCTGGCCAGATGGGGTGATCTGTTCCTTCACTGTTGGTGCAGTGCAAGTCACCGTGCAGCAAAGCAAGCCCAGTGCTCCATTCCCGGGCGTGCAGATGTATCCGGAGAAAGACAAGCTCAACAGAAGACTAATAAACACAATTAGCAGCTCAGGAAAACTTTGCAAACTGTGTTTTTCTGTGCAAAGCCCTGTTCCATGTTCTCCTTCATTGCTGGTTTCTAAAGGGCTTTTGAAGGACGAGGATCGTTTTATGTTTCTTTAGACCTGTGTTCTTAACACAAAGATATTTTGTTCTCTGCCTCTTGTGGAAGTGATTGCCTTTCCCTCTGCTTGCTTGATCTGTGCAGTCTGGCCCCAACTCTAGGCAACTGCTTTCCAATGTGTAGACCAGGTGAACCTCAATTTACTGATTAAATTGCATTTTTTCTCCCAGAATGAACAAAAGTGTGGCTTTAAAAGCTGATGTTCTTCATAACTATGTTCAAAAAAAAAGAAATAATTTTTTTTGTCCTGGATCTCGGGAAGTGTCAAAGATGAGACACAGTTAAGTTTGAAATGCCTGACTTTAGGAAGTACGTGTATTTGGGGCATCTTGTGACTGAAAAACAGGTTTTAGTCCTGACTTTGCTTCTGTACTCTTGGCAATAAGCAGAAATTTCACTGCCTTGGGCCTGTTTCTCACTTGCTTGGGGATTTGGGTCCAGAGCAATGGGGTAACAGAGTGATAAAAATCCAAGGAAAGTGCCAGTGTATTTAGACCCCTTGCAGCCCCTCCAAAACCCTCTTGGCAAAGCACAGAAATGGGAAGCAAGGAAATGCAGTCTTTAGTGCTAGTCTCTGTAATCCATGTAACAGCTGAAAATATGACATTTTTGTAAATCAAATATGGAGGCAAGCTGAATATGCAGTATGTGATGCATGAAAAAAATTGCCTAGATCATGCCCACAGCTTCTCACCCTTGGCTTTCCTTGGTTGGGTCCCTCAAGCTTTCCCATGATCTCGAGCTGACATTACATATTGTAGTGATATCAATGTGCTTGGCTCTGTACAGTGCTTGGACTTGATCTGACAATTTTAGCATGTTTTCCTTTGGTGTGAAGTTCTAGTACATGTGCTTTGGCCTGTTAGAGATTTTGTCTTAAAAAAAATTTAAAAAAAAAAAATCAAACTGTGCATACTAAGAACTTTGGGAA